TTCATCATCTCTGGCCATTAGAGAGTGTAAATTATAACATTGAGATTCTATCTTACTCCAGAGAGAATGGCTATCATCCAGAAATCAAATAATAACAAATGCTGGTAAGGCTGCAGGGGAAAAGGAACCCTTCTACAATGTTAGTTGGAATGTAAACTAGTACAACCACTATGGAAATCATTATGGAGATTCCTAAAAAACTAATAGTAGAAATTCTATTCAACCCAGTTATTCCCTTTCCAGGTATCTTCCTGAAAGATTTAGAAGACATAATATTACAGTGATACATGCATACCCATGTTTATAGCAACACAATTCATAGTAGCTAAAGCTTGGAAGAGATGTGATGAATAGATAAAGAAAATGAAAATAAGGTATTTATACACAATGGAGTACTACTCTACCACAAAAAAGAATAAACTTGAAACATTTGTAGGCAAGTGGATTCACCTTGAGACCATAACGTTGAGTGAAATAAATCAAACACATGAACCTAAATATCACATGGTTTGTGCTGTATGAGAAACACAAAATATAAGTAAAGATCAGAATAAAAGAGATAATTGGAAGCAGGGAGATAGATCTTTTATAAATGGGAAGGAGACCAACAGATGGGGCGGTAAGAAAACAATTAAGATGTGTTGTATACATGTACCGACTCCCCATGAGGAATGTGATCATTATGTACTACAAAGATGTACAAATAAAAAATAAAAGTTGAAGGAAAAAAAGAATAGTTCTGGGTCACTGTGTATGTATAACTTTATAAGAAACTGCCAAAATGTTTTCCACATGGGATGTGTTATCCTACATTCCTAACAGGAATGCATGAGTTTCTGTTGTTTTACATTCTCTTCAGCACTTGCAACTGTCATTTTTGCTTTTTTAAATTTTAGCCACTCCATTAGGTAGGTAGCACATCGTGATTTTAATTAGCACTTCCCTCATAACTAACGATATTGTTTGGAGTTTTAAAATCTTGTTATTTCTTGATGGCAGCCATCTTAGTGGATATGACGTGTCATCTCACTTGTGTTCGTCTAATGATTAGTGACACTGAGCAATTTCTCTTATGGTTAGTGACCATTTCTGTATCTTCTTTGGAGAAATGTCTAATCAAGTTCTTTGCTCATTTTTAAGTCAAGTTGTTTTTTGCTTTTGTTGTTCATTTTTGCCATTTACTTATTTATTTTTGTGGTGCTGGGATTGAATCCAGGGGCTGACACACATCAGGCGAGAACAGCACCGACAATATTCACGTCTTTGTTTTGGTCATTTTAAATCTTTTTCTATTAAGAAGGCTTTATGTACTTATCATACAAGTACTATAACAGATGTCGTTTGAAAATATTTTTCCCAGTTTGTGGCCTGCATTTTTACTCTGTTGTCTTTGCAAAAGAGTAAGTTCTTATTTTTGCTGAAGTCAGATTTGTCAACCTCTCCAATGTTTATGCTTTTGGTAGCACATCTAAAAATATAGTGGTTTATTATAAGGTCACAAAGTTTTCTCCTATGTTTTATTTTAGATGTTTAGTGGTTTTAGGTTTTATAGTAAGTCTATGATACATTTTGAATAAATTTTTGTATATGGTGGGAGCTAAGGATCAATGTGATATGATTATTGCCTATGTATGTCCAATTGCTCCAGCAGTGTTTGCCAAAAAGACTAGCCTTTTCTCATTGAATTATCTTTGTATGTGTCTTAGTTAGCTCTGGCTGCTATAGCAAGTATCCACTCTGGCTGTTGTGGCTTATGACCACTAGAATTCTATTTCTCACAGTTCTGGAATCTGGAAATCTGAAAACAGGATATTAACAATGTGCAGGTCTGGTGTGCTACATGGGAGAAAGAGGGAAGACAGCCCCTTAGGGTCCCTTTTATAAGAGCACCACACTCTACTACTCTCAATACTTCACTTCAGACAACAGATGTGTGTGGGTTTCTCTCCCACAACAATTTAATTCATTTCTTCAGCAAACACTGACCAAGTACCCTAAAATTTAACTCAGTTTTGAAACTCAGTGTCTGGAGTCAACACAGGCTGAATAGGTTAAGGGCTTAGTCCACAAACTGCCCCTACTTCAGACAACAGTCACAAGGGTGTGAGGCACTCTGGCCAGGAACACAAGACAAAGACCAAATACAGTAGTATCCTGATATTAGCCCATATTCTATTGGTGTAACATATAGAAGCTGGGTGCTTTGTAAAGAAAAGGCTTATTACCTTAACAGTTTTGGAGCCGTGAGTATATGGCTGCATCTGTATGGCCTGAGCCCTCCAGATACATCACAGTATGGTAGAGAAGCAGGAGTGAAGGAGGACCGTGCAGACATGGCTGACAGAATGGCCTCCATTTACAAAAACCCCCTCTTGTGACAGTCAACCAGGAACCCTAGAAAACGACATTTATCCCTTGTAAGGGTGATGTCCTCAGTGCCCTAACCACCTCTCACTAGGCCACATTTCCACAAGGTTCCACCCACACTGCCACACTGAGAATGAAGATTCCGGCACATAAGCCTTTGGGAGACAAGCCACATTCTAACCAGAGCACCCCTTCCTTACTCACAGGATGCATTCATTCCCAGATGCCCATGGAGATCTGAAACGAGAGAGTACTGAAGGGCTGGGGATTTACCTCAGTGGTTCCAGCGCCTGCCTCACAAGCGCAGGGTCCTGAGTTTGATCCCTGGTACCAAAAAAAAAAAGACAGTACTGAACCCTACATATGTTGTTTGTTTCTATATATGCATACCTCCGATAAAGTTTAATTTATAAATTAAGCAGAATAAGATCAGGAATAACAATAATAAAAGTATAAAAATATACTTTAATAAAAGTTACTTAAAACATGCATTTTTAAATTTCTTGAACTTTGCATTTAATATTTTTAGACTGCGGGCAACTGAAATCATGGAAAGCAAACCGACAGATGAGGCTGTACAACTGATACATTTCTAAATTACAGTATCACAGGCTTGCAAAACTGAAACTTTATACCCACTAAACAGTAACTCCCTCTTTCCCCCTCTCCCTAGTCTTATGCGTATTTTCATACCACACTCTCTTGATTAGTTAGCTGCATGGAAGTGTTGATATCAGAGTTCTAAATTTTTTCCCCTAAAATCATTACATTCCTTTAAATACGATTGGATTTTGGGATGCAGTTAATTACTTGGCATCAGGCTGGTCCTTCTGAGGCTTGCTTTTAATCTTTCTTAGGGTGAAATCCATATAAGTTTTTAGGACTAATTTAGCCCCACTACTAAGGCAACATATTTCTGAAAATTTTGCTGAAATTCTCTGTCTTATGAGGTCTTCCAGATGGCTGGTGGGAACACAAATCTTTTTGGCCTTGTAGGAGCTCCGGGGATTGTTCAACCCACTGCTTTCTGGAATTATCCTGTGATCAGTTCCTCTCTATTCAAAGATCGATACTTAGCTGAAGGCTAGAGGGGCATGTTCTACAGAGCCCTGGAGCCCTCTCCTCTGACCATTCTCCTTCTGTTGATAGGCCCTGCAAATTCTGGTCATTTGGCTTTTGCACCTGTTACCCCACCTTGGCCAAAAGGAGATGCTCTCTGAAAATGTCATATTTAAACCCACTGCTCATTTGTATATATTAATCATGTTTTCAATATTTTCTATTAAAACTATGCTGAAGTAAGTACAGGATCTGAAAGACTGGCCTCAAATTCTTATGCTTATGTGATCTTCCTGTCTCAGCCTCCTGAGCAGTGGGGACAATGGGCATGTGCCACCACTCCTGTTGCAGGCCTAGAACTTTATTAGCAAACAGAAAACATTGCAGTGGGCAGGAAATCATAGGGTTTTCATTCTGTGGGGCCTTGACCTATTTCACTGCCCATATGTGCAGCTACAGAACCAGCTGCACAGCCCTGGGGTGTGGAGCCCTCAAGCAGAACATGCAGGGATGCTGGGGGCGGTGGTGAGTCCTTTCTCTACAAGACTATGACACTTCCTCAGGGAGGTCACGCAAATTTAAACCTGTCTTCAGTTGTGCAGAAAGAGTTGCACTGAAGACTCTGCTGCAGAAAAGGGAGTATTATCAACCTACTTAATTTAGCCAGTCTGGTAGGTGAATGACGACTTGTGCTTATTCTGTTACTTTTCATGTAAGTGAGGCTACCTTTTCAAATGTTAAAGTTTCATTTGTTAAACTGTTCTTTAAAACTCAGCCTCTCCTACTGAGGTTTCTCTGTCCCTAGCACTGGCTCTGGAGAAACGAAGGAAGAGCACCACCCATGTTTTGGCTGTCCCTGCACTGGAGAGTCCCAGCCTAGGCACTTATCATCCTGCACTGAAGGACTGTGACATTGTGCCCTTTGCTGTGCCGTGTGGACAGACTCTTATCATGCAGTATTAAGATCCCGTCTCCTCTCTTCCCGGTTCCAAAAGGGCCAGGTGTCAGGGCACGAGGGGCATTTCTTGGAAGGAGAAAGGTTTAACAGGAAGGAGAGAGAGGGAGGAAGAGGAGGGTGGAAGAGGGGAAAAGGGGGGAAGGGGGGAAGGGAGGAGGGAGAGGGAGGGGGGGGGAGGAGGAGGGAGGAGGAGCAAGTACAACCTACAATTGCTATTAGCTCAGCAGCCAGAATTCCACGTCCTTCCGCTTCTCAAGGCACCGCATCTGGCGGCTGCCGTTTCTGCCAGTCCAAAGCTCTGTGAAGCGGGGCCGAAGGGACCTTCCTTGGAAACGAGTCAGGGGGCAAACCCGGCAGCTGCTGCGCTTCCTGCCTGAGCCGGCGTGCGCTGCACAGCGCTGAAGTCTGCAGACGCGATAACTCGGGAACTTCTTCAGTGTTCGCGGCCGTGCCGTGCCAACCTGGCAGGGCCCTTCGAGGGCCACTGACTTTACAGCGCACAGCAGAGACAAACACACGTAGGACTGGAGTCCGAGCTTCGGCTTCCCAACCAGGCCCAGCGCCAAGCTCTTCATCGTAGCGCGCGCTCGCCGGGACCCACACCCCGCCCCGCTGGCGCGTGCGCAGTCCTTCGGCCCGGACGCCCCGCCCCGCCCGTAGTCTGGGTCTCCGCTCGCCAGGGTCCTCCCTGCTTAGGCTCTGCTGCTCGCGCTCGCGGCCATGGCGACATCGGCGGTGGGTGCGGTGGTGATCGTCGGCAGGTAAAGGGCCCGACGCGCGCTGTGCCTAGGCAGTCGCGGTCTTCTCGAGTCTCCGCCCCAGCCCGGCCGGGCCCCTCGTGCAGAGTCCGCCGCGTGCGGCGTAGCACCGGCTCCCCGCCCCCAAACTGGCCGGCAGGTGCGGCTCCGGCCCGGGCCCGGGTCCGAGCTATGCGAGCCACACGCCTCTCTGGGCATTGCCAGCAAACGACCTGCAGGGGTGCTGCGAGTGTCCTCATTCCCGCAGTTCGAACGCGAAAATGGATGAAGCCAGGGTCCTAGTGAGGGATGGAGTCCTGATGGCCCAGCAGGGAGGGTCCTTGGCAGCGGTTTCTAAAGTGTGCGCCCACGCCCTGTTATTGTTTGGAGTTTATTATTGCTACTGTTCTAAGTTTTTAAAAAACTGAGGTTTCTGTGTATCTTTCCATCAGCTAGCTATCGTGGCATTTCTAGCAACATGCTATACTTGCCATTGACGGTTAACAACACCTTTTGGCAGATAGCTAGTGATCCTGTGTGCCTTTGAGGCCCCCTGAAATCAGATCAGTTCACATCCCTGTCTAGAAACCAGGTCCAAGATCAAGGTTTTCCTGCAGAGCCCATGGGAGGAGAGCACTAGAACGATAGGTACCAGCTTAGTTTTGCTGACAGAGCAGTGGAAATGCCCTGGGCCTTTGTCCTTTCCAGGCCTGTCGGTGCCTGTGGTTGAACAGTGATGGGATATAAAAGTGCACTTTGCACTCTAGGCGTAATTCTGTCTGCCTTTCATTTTACTTAGAGAAGGTCCAGAGTTAAGAGTTTTGCATGTCTTCCCTCACACCTTGGAACCCTGTTCTGCCAGGATCTAATGGATGTTAACTACATTTGTGGATTAGACATCTGGCTTGTGAGTGGCACAGAGTCTCCTGAGGAGCTGCAATGGGCAATCAGTTTATTTCTGATTCCTTGAGGGGATTTGATGAAGAAGTGAAAGAGGGTTGGCAGACTTTTAGGATGACAGGAGTTATCCAAGCCTCAGCTTGTTTCCTTCCTTCATTTGAAATTCCTGTTTTTCCTTCACTCTCCACATCTCCACAACACCCAGCTCTGCTTCTGGGCACGCTGGTTTCTTGTGGTTGTCCTTCCCATTTCCCCTCCCTTCCCTTCCAGTCTCCTCCCCTTCCCAACCTTTCCTGTTTCTTGACCTTGACATCTGTCCCTCCTTCCCTCCCTCCCTCCTTGCTCTTACAATCTCTGTCTTTCTTGGCCAAGGAACACCTACTGTATTTAACAAATGGTGCTCAGAATGTAAATTAACTCCTTAAACCCTGGTTGAATTTCATTCTTGATTTCAATACACTAAAAAATATAGATTTCAATTTCAATTTATTGGGCCCTGAATTTCCATTGTATCAGTTTCCAGACTCTTTAAGTATACTTAATAGAAACAGTCTCCACTTGATTCTTTTATTCTTTTCCATTGTGTCCAACCCCGCCCCCCCCCAATAGGGCCAGCCACTTAATCCTACAAGCATCCCCAGTGAAGCACTTACTTGACTTGCTTGACAGAGAAAGAACGGATTTTGAGGAAAGGGCCGGTTACAGGGTGGTTTCTTTAGAAATGGTTCGCCAATCAAAAGTATTCCAGGTTCTTCCTACCTCAAACCAAGAATTGGACAAGACAAGACAATAATGGTGCCAAAAAGTTTATTTGAAAAGTGCAAGGGGCTGGGGATTTAGCTCAGTGGCGCCACACCTGCCTGGCAAGTGCAAGGTCCTGAGTTCGATCCCTGATACTGGAAAAAAAAAAGGGCAGGGTAAATGGGTATAGGAGAAACCAGCTTTGCAGAGCAAACTTGGGCTGAATAAAGAGATACAGTAAAAGCAGAAATAAAAGAGTACATACCACATTCAGACATGAAGGGGGCTACCATCCAAACTCAAAATAAAAGTATACACCACATTTAAATGTGGAGGGGGCAAACTCATGGATGATAGCTGCTTTCTGTGATGGCTGCTGTTTTTTCATGCTGTCCGCTTACGTGGGAGCTTGGGAGAAATCCTGCATACTGGGTCCTCACATTGTCTTGGGATCTTATAATTGACAGGTCCTGATCATTTCCCCAGCATCTTTGCCACGCCCTGTCTCCTATATCAGGCCCTTGGGTCTAGGGCTGCGGGAACAAAAAAGAGGGAAAATGACAACTGTTAATAAAGGCAGTAGAAATATTCCCTCAAATTTGCATTTGAGTAGTGTTCTGGCCTTTATTGTTAGCCTTACCTTGAAGAAAATTTGCGTCCCATAAAGTTTCTTATAAAAAATGTACATAATCAGGTATGGTGGTGCATGTCTATAATCCCAGTACTCTGGGAGCCTGAGGCAGGAGGATCATGATACAGTTCACTGTACTTGTGAATCACTAAAATTGGAGGTCTGTATTCATTTACATGCTGCATTGTGTTTATTGGGCCAAATTTTAAGCTTTGAAATTCTTTAAAATAGAAACCTCTCTGGGAGAGGACCCGCAATGTGCCTGTGCCTGACATTGCCCCTTCTAATGTTGCCCTTTTTAGGGACACATTCCTTCAGGGCGCAGCCCAGGGATCATCTTCTCCAGGAACAATTCTTCTAGAACCTTCCTCTTGGGGTAGAAACCTTATTGATTCGGACTGTCTTTCCACCACAGCTGATCTCAGTAGTCAGAGAATATATCTACAGTAAAATCTAGGTTTGTGAGCATAATTCATTCCGGAAACATGCGTGTAATCCAAAGCACTAGGATAACAAGGTGAATTTCCCCATGAGAAATAATGGAAACTCAGATGATTCATTCTACAACCCAAAAATATTCATAGAAAAATGATTACAGTTCTATAATATACTTCAAAATAATCAAGAAAATACAAAATTAAAGAAAAATAACTTTTCACTTACCTTTGAAAATGTTCCTGGCTGGTGTGAGGGAGACGAGCGAGGAGGGTCACTGTGCAGGACGACTTTCACTAACGGAATCACTGCTCCCTCTTGGCTCAGTGGGATCTTTTCCTCTTTGTGCACCCTTTGACAGAACACCTATCCAATGATACTTCCTTTTGACAGTTTTGCAGAAATGGGATATTGCCTTGTTATTAGGTTCATCACTCGTCCTGCTACAACCTTATTCGGTGGTGCTTTTCTACAAATTTTGCACTGTTTCTCACGTTTTACACATCTACCAAATCTCATTTGAAGTGAGGGATTCCTCTGCCTTTTTCTCCTTTTCCTCTGCAGAAGAGAAATCCTCTGTAACTGTAACCTCTTGATGTTGAGAGACAAATCACCCGCAACCCTGCAGCAAGGGGGTGGGGTGGGGAGGGGAAAGAAGTGGGAAGGGGGGGGGAAGAACTGTTGGCTTAGTTGTGATCATGTGATGTTTGGTGTCACATACTACTGGTATTGCAAGATACCATTCATTTATCAAGTTAAATTTTATTCTCCTTTTGCAGGACACTAGCAGAACAAGTTACTCATAGTCCAAGATTTTACATGTATGTATTTGAAGTGTAGTGTAAAGCTTGGGGAAATTTTTTTTTCCTATCAAGCAAGGTATCCTATACACTAGTGTCACCTTCATTTTTTTATTCCAAAATTTTGCTTTGGGGTGACTATGTACATTTTTTTGGTACTAGGGAATGAATCCAGGGCCCTCACACTGAGCTACATCCCCAGTACTTTTCTATTTTGTGACAGGATCTTGCTAAGTTGCCCAGGCTGGGCTCAAATTTGCAATCCTCCTGCCTCAGCCTCCCAGAGTGCTGGGATTACAGGTGTGCACCACCACGCCTGGATGACTATGTACTTTTTTTCATAAGAAACTCTTTAAGGCATGCGTTTTTTTCAAAGTGTTATAAAATACACACATGTGCGCCCGCGCGCGCGCGCACACACACACACACACACACACACACGGGGTGGGGGAACCCTAGAATGTTCTGGTTGCTTCTTAGTCACCTCGAACACTAATGTGTCCTTCCTAGGAAATATTTAATAGCTTGCATTGGCACATTTTTCATAGCTGATTTAAATGAAAAATGTAGTAACAGTTTTACTGTACCTTTTGCCTGATAAGTAACTGTAGCATAGAATATGGTTGTCTTACTTTTCTTGTTGCTGAGAGAAAATACCAGACACCCAAAGTTAAAGGAGGAAAAGTTTATTTTGGATCACGGTCTGTAGAGATTTCAGTCCATAGTTGGCTGACTCCGTGGGAGGTGTCATGGCAGAGGAACATCACAGAGGAGAAACAGTTCATGGCAGGCAGAAGGCAGCCAGAACGGCAGGTGACAAGCCTAGCCCATGACCACAGCTCTTTCTGTCCCTTGTATTTCACCCAGGCCACCCACCGTTAGGGTGGGCAGCACTCACACCCTCAATCCTAGCGTTGCACCGTGAATCAAGCCCAGCATTATGTCCTTGATCCCAGCAGCACAAACCCTAGATCCAGCCACCTCCAAAAGGTCTCACCTATGACCCCATGAGACTTTGGGGGGCATCTAAATGCAAGAGATAATAACACTTTTCTAAGTGTTTGGAGTGGCTTTATTCAAAGCTAACTGGCATTAATATCAAAACTAGAATTGAACCAACTTTATTAAATTGTTTCCCTTCTCTTTTGCTCTAACTGGGTAACAGGGTAAATATCATCTGCACATTATCCTTTTCTAATAATTGAGATTTATAAACTTTTTTCAAATTTTTATTTATATTATACAGGTTTGCAGTACAGAGATACACGAATTTTGAAGCCTTAAGGGATAAGTGAGTAGAAGAGACTTTAAATTATCTTTATCACTGGCCCTCAGTCTATGGTTCCCAGGTATCAGAAAGGTTAGTAAGATGTCACAGGTTCTAAGGATATGAAGTTAATTATATTTGGGTACAATATAAGGTAGTATTCGGGACAAGAAAGCGGAAGGAAACAAAGGCAGGGAACATTTCCTTTCTGGGGTGATGCCCTGTTGGTCAGTTGATCAGTCCTCTGATC